TTGGAACGAATAGCCTCGACATGCTGGCTTCTTACATGGCCTGTCATCGGACGCGCGGCCTGGGCGGCAGCCCTCGGGGCCTGCTGCGCAGCCCGGCCCCTGATGCGCACGGGCCCCCCTAATCATGAAACGGGGCGCCGACGATCTCGAAAAAGGCGATCCATGTTGAGAGCTCCTAGATGCGCGACTACGACCGCCCTTTCCCGACCTTGATCTCCGGGAGATAGCGCTCGGGGAATCGAGGAGCTGTCTCCCTCGAAGTCGGGCCTCCGGCACTGGGCTGGGTACGTCATGGTCACCCAGCTCGCCGGGCTCGATCTTGGGGCGCTGTTCGCACGGCGACACCTTGATGTCAGCTGGGCCCTCTCTCGGAGCATTTCCATGTCGCACTTCCGTCGCGATGCCCCCGGGCGACGGCCCTTGGTTCTCGGTTTGAACGTCATTGTCTTCGGGGGTAACTTTTCCGGCCGGACTTTGGACATGGCCCGCGGCCTCTCTGACAGGCTTTCCTTCGAGCACAGACGTCCTGACCGTCTCCGAAGAACTCGAGATGGAGAAGGATTCCTTCTTTTCCTTCGGGGTCTTTACGCCTCCTTCCTCATCAGACGAACTGGACTTCGCGACGCATGCTTGCGCGATGTTATCGGAGAGCGGGTTTCGGGGGCGGCTTTTGCCGCCGTGCCGTTCTTCTTATTCGTCCGATTCGTCGTCTGGAAGACGCGCATCCTGTCTTCCACGGTTGACAGGCACGCCGTCCGTTCTTTCTTGATCTTGGATGCGTCGGGAGGTCGATGGCGTTGGTCCGTCGACCTGAATATCATGCTTTCATGGTTTTGTCAGGCCAGGGTCGTTTCCCACATTATGTGTTTCTTGTGGGTAGAGTATCTTGTTAGCCCTAAGATGGCCAACGTGGTCGGTCATCCTTGGAATGGAAATTTCGGCTGATAACCCATCTTTACCCAACTTAAGCCCACTAGGGCCAACATGATCAGGATGTACATGTGGTAAAAGTGGTGCTCCTAGCATTGGCTCCAAGGAACGTCTTGGGCTCGAGGATTCCCGAGAGACCATGGCGGCAAAGAAAAAGGCGATAGCCGTAGAAGAATGAGGTCCAACTGTCCGTTAAGCGGATAGGGAACAAAAGAGAATGCGGGGCGCGCGCGTTACTTCTCTTTGATCCCATACAGCTAGAGATCAGGCAACTGAGTGTTCAAAACAATTCATATATGTACATATGCGGCGGCAAAGAGCGTATGGTAACGACTCAAGAGGCCCCCAAGACCGCCCCAATATCGCCCAAGACGCCTCCAAGATAGCCCAAGAGGTCCCCAAGACGGCTCCAAGAAAGAGCCCAGACCGGAGACTCGACAGGACATATCGAACCCTCGGCCTCAGAAGCTCCCAGGAGGCCCCCTATAAGTTAGGCCCCTAAGAAGCTCCCCGCGAAGCCCCAAGAGGCTCCCAAGAGACCCCCAGGAAACTCCAAGAGGCCCCCACGAGGCCCCCAAGCGGCCCCCAACAGCCTCCCAAGAGGCCCCAAAACTACCCCCAAGAGGCCCCCCCCGAAAACTCCCTGTATCCCTTCACCGCCAGGGGTGGGGGGGGGCGTCCCAGGGGGGTACCAGGGCGAGACCCGGGACGGGTGGCGGGGGAAGAAGAAACTCTTCCACTCTCTTCCCCTGGAGGGTAGGGTCCCGAGGGAGTCCCATGAGAGGGGGTAAGTACTGTGATTATTCTCCCTCCTCCATCTGCTTTTCGCTCCTCCCCCTGCTCCTGCTTCTCCTCCTCCACCTCCTCCTCCTGCGTGCGGGGGGGGGGGGCCGGAGGTAAATCCCGGAAACAAGTCCCGAGGATGCTCCAGGAGGGGACCAGGGAGCCCCGAAAATTCTGTCATGATTTTGATTGTTTGCTGCCTCCTCCACCTCCACCGTTGCTCTCCCTCCTCGTGCCCCTCCTGTGCCTGCTCCTATTTTTCCTGCTCATGCTCCTCCTCATCATTCTCCCCCGCCTGCTCCCTCAACTGCCTCCTCCACCCTTCCTCCCTCTCCACCTCCTCCTCCACCCCCCCGCGTTTACATATTCGTGGCCACCAGGGTCGGCGGCACAGGCCGCAAGGCCTTCGCAATACCTCTGACAAGCCGTCCGCGGACTTATCATAAGTCCGAGGACGGCTAAGTCGTAAGTAACACATGAGTCGCTTATGTGTTACTTACGTTCAACTACATATATTTTCAACATTAATAACCAGATTAGTAAGCTTCTGGTTTGTGTGAAGCAAGGTGTGTGAAGTCGTTAGTCCACTGCACATCACGCAAGTTCGCTGGTTGAAGGAGTGGGGGCGGCCAAACGCTGAGCCCCGGAGGGCGGCAAGCGACTGGCGGCTGCGGACAAAGCTTCCGGGCACGGGCAGGCTGTTCACGATACAGTCTCGGCACGCGCTGCCGCGAACGACGGGGCCCGCTCAAAGAGGCCTGGCCCTCGCAAACGAGGCTTGCCGCGTGACGGACACCCGGGGGTGCGTGGAGGCGACCGCGGCAACCAGCAGGGGCGCCATGCCCAGCGCAACTGGGCCGCGAGCCATTGCCCAAAATTCCGGAGGGCGGCGGGATCCGAGGGCACCGTGCGCCAAAGAGAGCGGAGCAGCAACAGGCACTGAAGCGGAGCCAACCACATTTCGGTCAGAACTGCTAGAGCCGCATTTGCTGGACTGCACGCCGACGTCCTGCGCCTCAAACGCGTGCCTGGATCTGCCTCCAAGGCAGGCGCGCCAGTCTCTACGCTTCGCGGCGCGACTAGCGCCAGCGGGTGCCAAGGCAGGAGCACTGGCGGGAAAAAGCGCCCTGGACCGGCATGGCCTCGGCCCCTCTCCTCTTCCGCTGCGCGTGCTCGAAGAGCGCCCACCAGGCGCAATCGGCGATGAAGTCATAACGGGGAGTGCTCGACGCCTCCAGCGGCCGAGCGACGGCGAATCCCTTCGCAACCGCAAGCAGCTGCCGAGATTGCTGCTGCAGTTCCAGCAGGCGCTCGAAGAAACTGAGCGTGGACTCCTGCGAATAGCCCTCGTGCGCCGCGGGGCCCACAGGGCCGTCGCCCTCCTCGTCCGACCGGAAGGGGCGGCCGAATGACCGCCAGGGCGGGGCCTCGCGCGACACGGCGGTGCGCGGCGCCTCGGTGCGGGCCGAGCCTGAGAAGTCTACCGAAGGGCCACTGAGCTCAGCTGGCCTAAGGGCACCAGAAAGGCGCACGCCAGGTGCGCGAGCCCAGGGGCGACCACGGGCGGCCGCGCACGTGCGAGACGAAGGCGCTCCAGTACCGAGCTCCAAAATGTGCGACAGGAGAGCACCGTGCCAAGTTCCGGCGTGTGCCGAGCTTGCGGGGCCCACCGAAGCGCCACTGAACCCCGCCTCCTTACCGAGGCTGGCCTCGACGTTGACCCAAGCTGACGTGAGGCAGGAAGGGGAGGGAGTAATTAGGGATGAGGTTGGTAGGAGCCACCTCCTCCGACTCCATCCAGGGCGCGGTCAGCTTCGCGTGGCCCGCTATTGCAGACGCTCCACGTCTTCGACACGGAAGCGATGCTCTGCGCGTCGGCTGGGGCCCTTCGAATCGCGGCAGTAGATGCGTCACTCGGCGACAAAGGAGTTTCACACTCGGCCAGCTCTCTCCGTGCGGCAGTGGCCCGCACACCAGGCGGCTCCTCAGCTTCCACGCGCTCCTCCTCGTGCTCCGCTTCCACGGGATGCACCGAGAGTTCCAGGGCCCGGGAACGACACCTGATCAATCTCCTCGTGCTGCCCGCTTGAGCTAGTCTCTCGAATACTCTGTCCTTCGACCAGCGTGACACTCGGCAGCGGCTGGTCAACATTCGGCGGCGATGGATTCCCGCCAGCAGCTCCATTCAGCGCGGCGGGCGAAGAGCGTTCGTGCGCAACGGCGGACCGGCGACTCGGGACGTCAGGGATGCCTGACACCAGACCGGCATCCTCCTCAGCTTCAACGTGATCCTCCTCGTCCGCTTTGTCATCGCCGCTCTCCGCCTCAACCGAGGACAAAAAAGAAGGCGACGAGAAGAAGGGATGACTATGAGCTGAGGCTGCGCCAACGGAGGCTGGCTGCTGCGAGCCGCTCGGCCACTGCATACCTGGCACCGTGCGAGCCGAGGCAGCCGAGCGCGAGGCGCTTGGAGCAGTCTCAGCGACCGCGGCTCCCCAGGCCTCACAGGGAGGGGATGCCCTCGCAAGGCAGAGAGGCCCAAGGCGGGCGAGCCTGAGCGATCAAGCGTGGCACGAGGCGCCAGTCACCCTCCCCGAGGGGCGCGCCGTGAAGGACGGTGCCGCCCCGCGGCGCACGCAGGGCACCCGTGGGCCGACACGCGCCGCCGCCCGAGGGAGCCACCAGGAGGAGCCCCCCCAGGCCGATGGTGGCGCGGCAGGGGCGGGCGCGCGCACGCGGACCGCCCCCCCGAGAAACTGCAGAGCGGTGCGTGCGGGAGGATACGCTCGCGACCAGCAACAAAAACAAGTAAACCTACAAACGTTCGGATGTCCGCGGGCGGTTTCTCCGCCAGCGCAGGGCCCCCTCCCCGCACCCCTCCTCCCCACGCGCGGAGCGCACCCTGGGCGGCGCTGGAGGGGGAGGAGGGCCGGGGTCTGGCGCCAGCGGAGACACCGTTTGCGGACGTCTCAAGGTTTACTCTCATGTGGCATTCGGGCTCGTAGGACGCCAGCTGTACATCAACACCGATCGTGGCCAGGGGGACACGCGTGGTGGAGCCGAGAAAGCCTGCGAGCTGGAGGGCATAAAGGATTGGGGAGCTGAGAGAGCCTGAGGGCGGGATAGCTGGGGAGGCTGAGAGAGGTGGAGAACTAGAGAGAGGGAGGGCGGGAGGGCGGGCGGGAGAGCTGGGCAGGGCTGAACACATACGCCCTCCGGAGTCCAGGCTCGGCCTGGCTGGGAGCGGTGCGCCGTCCCTCGACCCTGAGCAAGGCGGCGGCCGCGTCCTGCTGCGCCTGCTTCCCCTCCGCCTGCCGGGCGCCGCGCCGCGGGCCGGCTGCGGGCGCCAGGGCACCCACAAAGCGCCCCCGCTGCTTGCCCGCCGCCCGCCCCCCCATCCCCCCCCAAACATGGCCGACCCCTGCCCCTTCTCCTTCTCCTCCTTCATGAAGCTCCTCCTTTTCCTCCCCCTCCCCTTCCTCCCTCCTCCTGCTCCTGCTCCTGCTCCTGCTCCTGATCTTGCTCCTTCTCCTCCTTTTCCTCCTAATCCTCCTCCTCCTCCTCCTCTTCCTCTTCCTTCTCCCACTCCTCCTCCTCCTCCTCCTCCTCCTCCTCCTCCTCCTCCTCATCCTCATCCTCCGCCTCCTCCTGCACCACTCCTCACTTCTCCCTTCTCAAACCTCATTCCTCACTCCTCGCTGCTCACTCCTCACTGCTCGGTCTCTTCATCCTCCTCCTCCTCCTCCTCCTCCTCTTCCTCCTCCTCCTCTTCCTCCTCCTCCTCCTCCTCCTCCTCCCTCCTCCTCCTCCTCCTCCTCCCTCCTCCTCCTGCTCCTCCTCCTCCTTGGGGCTGCTGGCGGGGACATGGAGCGGGTGCAGTGGCCAGGAGGACAGACTGCGCCGGGAATTGGCAGCGAACACTGGGAGGAGGGCTACGTCTTCGTTGCGCTCGCCGCCCCGCTCCCTGAGAGCACAGGCTACGTGTCCCGGCTGGGGCGTCCCTCCCCCCCCAGGGATGGATAATGCCAGGCGGCAGGGCACCATGCAACGGCCGTTTCTGTGAGGCCGGCGCAAGGCGTCGGAGGGACGAGCAAGCACCCCATCTACTGAGCGCTTGGCCCGCATTCGGTCCTCAGGAGGGAGAGGAGGATGGGCAGGAGGAAGGGGGCCCCACCCACCCACCCGCCAACTCAGGAAGCACGGCGCCTCCAGCTCCGCCTCGGCCGCCTCCCCAAAGCGGTGATGCTTCAGCACCAGCGCCTTGGCCAATCTCATCTGCACTTTGGCCTGCGGCGACGACCCAGGAGGGGCGCGAGGGGGAGGACGGGTAGGACGGGCAGGGCTTCTCGCCCCTCCTCTCCCTTCACGCACTCGCCCTCCTCCATACTCATGATCCCCTTCCCCCTCCCCCTCCTCTTCCTCCACCACCCCTCTTGACAAACAACGTTTTGGCTGAGACTTGGCGTCATGGAAACTTGACCAATCCAATAGCTACGCAAGCCCATCTGGAGGGCGGCTCGTCTTCAAAATGGGGCTGAAACCTGGGAAGTCCTCGAACATATGTTTGCCAGCGTGGATCCCAAGCAGTGCAACCTCGCGCTCTGGATATGCATCATGCGTGGTGCATGCTAGATGTGCTGTGGCATAGATGGCGCGATATATGTTGTGCAACCTATGTGGTACAATTTATCATGCACAACTTAAGTCGTCAACTCCAGTGCTCGCGTAAACATCCAACCATCCCAACCACAACGTGTTCGGCAAAACCCATTCAGCCACGATTGCGGCTACTGATTAGCACTTGCTAGCGCATCTCTACGGCCGCGCGCGTCTCCAAGACCGCCCTGGCGCGCGGGCACATCAAACCGGGTCGGTGACTCGGGTGGGCGCGATACTGTGATGACGTCGACAACGGCAGCAACGATGATGATAATAGCGATGGTGATGGCGGTGGTGGCGACGACGACGGCAAGGCCAATACTGGCGGTGGCGTGATGGCGCTGATGAGGGCGATGCGAAGTGCGCGCACGAACAAAATAAAGAATCCCACCAGCCCTTTGGGCGTGAGTGGTTTAGGGAGCTCTCTCTGTTCTCAACCCCCCTTCTTCCCCTTCGGGGAAGGGTTTACCCCTCCCCCTACCCCCTCCCCCTGGGCCTGGAGAGGTCGTCCCGCGGGTGGTTGGAGGGGTCTTTTTCGACTCCTGGGAGGGCTAACATTCGATACCCCTCACGAGGATTCTGGCCCCGACGGGGGGAGGGAGAAACAAAAACCCTCTTCTTTGAAGCCAGAAACATCGATTTTACTACGGTGTTGGCCCCATTTTGGCCTTCTGAGGGGGCAGCGCTAATTAAAGCTCCCCTCTTCTTTCAAGCCCAAATCTTTGATTTTACTAAGGTTTTGGCCCCATGTTGGCCTTCTGAGGGGGCAGCGCAAATTAAAGCTCCCCTCTACTTTGATCGCCTTCCTCCAAGATGGCCCCAAGAAGCGCCCAGGAGGCACCAAGGGGCCCCAAGATGGCCCCAAGAGGCCCCCAGGAGGCCCCCAAGAGGATCCCAAACGGCCCAAAGAGGCCCCCCCCGAGGCACCCAAGACGCCGAAAAGCCCATCAGGACGACCCTCTACTCGCCTGGGCGTCGTTCCTGGACGGGCTGGTGGGGATACGCGAAGCGTGATGAATTCTGTCAAGACGTCGTGTTGAACACCTGTTGTTTGTTCATGTTTTTGAAGAGCTCTATCTTGAAACGCGTCAGCAACCATGGTTTTTGAAGGAATTCGGCATTTGTGGCGGCGCGCAAGTCGCCCGCATGAAAGGCTTTAACACGCGTTGGTGCACTAAGCGCATACTAGATCAACGCGGATGCACCGCGTGGTGACATGAGAATGCGAGTTCTGGACGACATTGCTAAACTCGTATGATTTCCCGACGACATCGGCCAGCGCGCGTGGGCAGAATATCTACCAGTATTGTTATGGGAACCCGATTTGGTCTTATGGCTTGTATGTTGAAAATGTTGCAGGACTACGTGTTGGGTATGAGTTCGACATGTGCGCGCGTGTGGACGCTGTGGCATGTGTTGTTGCAACGTGCCCATGAACATTCTCTAGGAGTAAACATATGTGCAAGCATGGTACGATTTGACAAGGATGGGGGGATCCCAATACTGGCTTGGCTGGGATTGCATGGTGCCACATGGAAACTGAACGATGAGGCAGAAACACATGGAATAGTGCGACTGTCTCACGGTGACCAAACAAGTCCAGGCTCGGGAGGGTGGTACAGTCTATTCTTCTTCTGAATGGAGCATATAGGTGGTGCAGTTCACCTTGCTGGCATCCGCTCGAGACCACCTCCCAAACTCGTGCAAACATCCCACCCAGCCACCCAAAACCTGTTGGCAAAACTTGAACTGGTGCAATGACGCGGCAATCCTTCTCATGCAGAGTCATGGCTCGGACGGGCGAGTCCTGATGATATGAATGATGGTGGCACTGACGACCAGTGCGGCGACAACGACGATGACGATGATGACGACCACGATGGTGGTTGTGATGGAAATTACGGTGATGACGGTGGCAACGACGACGCTGTCGATAATGGTGACGATGGTGCTCAAAGCGACGGTAACGACGATGACTATGACGATGCTGATGACGACGATGGGGATGATGATGACGACAATGACGATGATGAGGGTGAAAGTGATGACGGTGGCAATGCTGTCACTGGCGATGATAACGATGGTGCTGATGAGGATGAGAAGTGCGCGGGCATAAATGTAAAGCTTCTGACAGACATGCTCATGTAAAATAATTTTGGGCCATACGTTCTTGTACACAGTTGCGCTCTGATACTCAGAAAGCAACTGGCGTTCGAACAACTTCGACGTGCGCGCACAAAGACGTGCGCGTGGCCCGCAGTTCACTCTGAAACGGGCCATCGTGCAAATTTGCTTCAACAAAGAACGGAGTGAACGGATAAGTCCAGCCTCGGCACGGAATGAGAGTCAAATTCACTGAGGAAAAAACACACGCGGTGCAACATGCGTGGTGCAAGCTATGTGGCGCAACATGTGCGGTGTAAGCTGTGTGGTGAAATGTCCGTGGAGCAAACTGCGTGGCGCAATCTTTCTCATGCAACATCCTGGTCCGAGCGAGCATACGTTGCAAGCTGTTGATGTTGCAAGGTATGCGTTGTGACCGAGGTGGTGCGAGCTGTGCGATACAAGTTGTGTGATGCAGTCCGTGTGGTGCGAGCTATGCGGTACGCCCAGAGCACGGGGCACCCACGAACCGCCCACGGGCGGCCACCAACAGGGCACCAGGCGAAAACCCAGCACACCAACCCAGCACATGGGGCCCCCACGGGGCGCCCACGGGCGGCCACCAATCGTGCACCCAGCACACATGCTGGCACCGACCCAAAAATTACATCGCTTGGAAACTATGCAGCACCCCGCAGATGCGAATAAGAGTAAGGAGGAGGGCACGGGGTGAGTCGCGGGTGGGTCGCGGGCGAATCCCGGGTGGGTCGCGGGGTGGGTCGCGGGCCGGGCTGCAGGTGGGTCGCGGGTGGGTCGCGGCTGGGTCGCGGGAGAGCTGCGTCGCGTGCGGGTCGCGGGCGGGTCGAGCGGTGGGTCACGGGTGGGTCGCGGGCGAGACGCGGGCGAGTCACGGTGTGGGTCGCGGTTGGGTCGCGGGTGGGTCGCGGGTGGGTCGCGGGTGGGTCACGGGCGCGTCATGGGTGTCGTGGGCCGGGTCGCGGGCGGAACGACGACAACAAACAAACAAACACAAACAAACAAGCATACAAACAAACAACCGACAACATCAACAACAACAGCAGCAGCAACAACGTCAACAACAATTACACCAACATCAACACCAACAACAACACCAACAACAACAACAACAACAACAACAACTACAGCAGCAGCAACAACAACACCAACAACAAGACCAATAACAACAATTGCAACAGCAACAACAACAACCACAAAAACAACAGCAGCAACAACATCACCACCAACAACAACAACAACAACAATCATTTTACCCGAACGCTCAGTGTTCTCCCCAGTGCCAGGGTTTTCTTGCGACACCAGCCAATACCCCCACTTCGTGGGGGGGCCGTTCAAGCTCTACCAAATATCCCAACGACTCTTCGAGACCACCCACACCCAGCTTCCCGCCCTATGACGTTGGGACACTTCACTTCGTGGCGTGCGGACGACCCTGGCTACTACACTGGCGTGGGGTACACACCCACAGAGGTTGATCACATCTGTTACATATGATGTGGTACACGGTACACGTGAGATGGTACGCAGTGCCAAGATAGTTGGTCACATTTTTGGGGCAAATTCGTGGGGATGCGATTACAGAAGTACATGTGTTACACTGATGTTATACAGTCCCAAGGATGACGCATGCATTGCTCATAGACTCATGGCGCTATGATCCTAACTCTCAGTGCCCAACGCGCGCGTGCACAGCCAGACGGAGGGAGAGAAACACATGTATACAAGGTTCGTGACATACGCACGGTCCACCATGTTGTAAACGATCGCATGCACGGTAAGTTCTGAAATTATACGTATGTACAAGCAGACATGCGAGGGAGAAAGGGAGATGGCCATCGACAGTTCCAATACGGCTCCAAGGCGGAAGAGGGGGAGGAGGAGCAGGACAAGGAGGAAAGGAGAGAAGCGAGAAAGGAAGAACGCAGACGGCGCGGCTCTGGACACAAAGGGGTGCCATACTTTCTCCTGCTTTCGCAAACAGGTCCAGTCACACGTAGGGGTATACTCAACCGAATGGTCTTCGCATCCAGAAGCATACTAAAGGCGCGACGCATCGTCGTCTGCGATGGCGCGGAGCGGGCGCGTGGGTGCCCGGCTGCCTGGCTGATACACGTGCGGGCCTGGCTGATACCCGTGCGGTCCCAGATGCCCAATGAGATTGCCGATACGCCTGCTGGCGGGAAGGCCGGTGCTTGCATACGGCAGTGCTACCGCGAGCACGTTGTGGACCTGCGGTGGCAAGGCCTGGTAATCGAGCATGTTCGGAAGCTTGGGTTTTAAAGATTCATCAAGAGACCGCGAATGGATTTCGAGATTTTTCGGATGAGAAAGTAATGCGTTTTCATATGTTTTCTGAACATCGCATCTTGAAATTATTGAAAACCCATTGTGTTTGGCAGGATTTCGACATGCGCGCGCGGCGGCCGCGCGCATGTGCACTTCGTCTCATTTTTTGCAAGGGATGGTGGCCCTCGCAGGCGCGCAACCGTTGTTGGAGAAGTTCAAAGCACCTGAAGAAGTAGCACGCAAAGACCCTTTTGACAGAAATGTTTAAAAAGTGGTGTGTTTCCTATGAATCCGCAAGAGCGCGCGGAAGGACATTTTGACAATTTTTCTTAAAAAACCATTGGGTTTTTGATGTTTTTATGTTAAAATCGTTACGAAACCTAAGGTTTTGGAAGGATTTCGTCTTGCGAGCGCGAATGTCCACTTTACCTTATTTTTTGCAAGGGATTCTTGAAATTTGATCAACTAAGAACAAGAATTTTCATTTTCTATTGTTTTTTGCAAGGGAAAACGAGCGTCAACAAAAAACCGGATCCGGGGGTAATCCACTTTTCTGAAGCTTTCGCAGAAAAATGATGAAAATGTAGCTGCGGCCTAGGTTTTGGGCGGGGGGCGTGCACCAGGGGGTCCAACAATAATAATTCTTTAGAAGTAATAGTGTTCAACAACAACAACAACAAAAACAACACTTGCAACAGCAACAACAATACGAATGATTTTAAGTCTCCTCTGCGGCGGTGGTGATCCAAACCTTGAAGGCGTGGGCACGTCGTGCCCCCAATTGGGAAATCAGTTTCGAGTTTCGGTTTCTGCATTCCCCACCCCACTCTCCTTATCAGCTGTTCATTGTATTGCGCCCAAGATTGATGAGGATAGGTGGGTGATGATTCTTCCGTTGGCTTCAGCAGGTCCTCTCCCAAGCGGGGTGCGGAAGGCAGGCCTCCCCCCGAGCCCGCTCGAGGAGGCTAGCGTACAAGGTCCCAGTCAGTGATGTCTGGCCACACCCCTTGGTGGGCTGTCCATCCCTGCCGGTAGCGGTCGGTCACGTCTCCCCGCGACGCTTTGTCAATGGGGTTATCTTCACTCGTCACCCGCTCAATCCAGGCGTGCAGCTCTCTCTCGCGGAACATTTCCCATGTCCGGTGCGCGATCACATTGAGGGGCGTCGCTGAGCTGTTGCCTTTGATGAGCGTGCTCTTGGCTGTCTCGTTGTCGATGAAGGCCAGCGCCATGCCCCCTCGGAGCTCTGGCCATGTGTTCATCGCCAGCATGGGTCCTACTGCCTCGATCTCGTTGATGTCGATGTCTTTGCTGCCCTGCTTCCACGCCTCCCGCCACTCCGGCGGCACCCTGGCGCGAGTGACCCGTGGCGCCCAATCGCTCTGCCGGGGCCGCCACCAGCCCGCCGCCACCCAGCCGGTTCCTTCACCATCCGTCACGATGATGTGAAGGTCCATGCGTTCCGGCGAGTACGGGATCGGCCTCCCTCCAGCGATTTTGAGCACGCGTACCCAGAACAGCAGGGATGCCCGCAGCGCTGGGTTGAGTCGCAGGTGTTGCTTGTTGTGTTGTCGCTCTGCGAGGGGACGGAGCGCCGCCGCTCCAAACCGCCCAAAGTGGAACGAGCGCGCCCACCCCAGCTGCCCTCGGAGCGTGCCTGCCTCCGAGCTCGTCATTGAACCACTGTCGAGGTGGCCGTGTATCCGAGCGAGGATCGCCTGCAATTTGGCTGGGTGGAGGCAACTATGGGGCTCCCCCGCGCCAAGGTAATGCAGGCCTCCCAACAGCTTGAATGGATCAGCTGGCGGTGGGCTTTTCTCCATGTCGATGCGCCACCCCACCAGGGTGTTCAGCTCAATCCAGAGACGGTGCGCTTGCTGTGCTAGTCTGGCCGGCTCCACTCCCCACGCGTCGTCCGCGTAATGGGAGATCGCCAGCATCAGCATGGATCTGCCGATCGCCACCATGGCGGCAGGGTCCCGGACGTAGTTGAATTGCGACAGCGCGCCTCCGAACGGCTGTCCGTCTACGTCTACCACTCGGACCTTTTGTTCGTGTGGGTCCCACACAATCTCCAAGGTTAGATGCGCTTGGTCTGGGTCTTTCGGGCTCTGGCGGAAAGCCATCTCGTAGTCCACTCGGTATCCCATGAGCGGCACGTGGTCGCCGAACGTTTCTTTCCACCATCTCGTGGCGGCCCACAGCTGGACCAAGTCCTCTGGGGTATACCGCTGAGCCAAGTCGACTGTGTCGTTCCCGCCCGAGCGCTTGAAGTCGCTGATGGGTCGGGCCGTCCACTCGCCAGTCTCCTTCAGCTCCCACTTGGGGAATCGTGGAGTGAGGCAAACTTCGTGCAAGTCGAATTCGTCGAGGTCGCGGATGGTGGCGTATCCTCGCTGGACTTCTTTCCGGACCTTGTCCCAGACTTTCTTGTCAAGCTCCGGATCGCGATTTGCTTTCACCGACCGTATCATCTCTAGATTCCGGTCCCGTGGGTTCGCCGCCCAATCGGTCAACGATGTCAACGCCCGGGATTGCTGTGGCGGATACAACCCTGTAGTCAGCATGCCTGTGCCGAGCATCGGGGCAGCTATTTCCAGTCTACCCTCCCCGGGGTGCTCCACCGCCGGCCAGAGCCATTTCCGTGGTTGGCCTGGGTCGCTTTCTGGAGTCAGGGCGCTGGTCAGCTCGTGCCATGCCCCACCCCAGTCGCGGCCGCCAGCGTCGTGCCGCAACGCCGCCCACGGGGTCGGCGCTGTTTTCCGCTTCATGCGGTACGACGTGCCGTACAAGGCATCCCGCGTGAGCCCGAGGTTCCACGATCTGTGGAGGTCTCCCCAGCGGAGCACAGCGCTGGCGAGGCAGATGTAGAAACCTGTGATCCATCGTTCTGCACCTTGTGCCCGCCAGAAGAGGTCATGGAGTTTGTCCACTACCAGCTGCGTGAACGGTTCCGCCTGCACTCTCGTGGCGGCTGCCGCTCCGTGCGCTTCTGTCACGGCTGTCAATACCAGTTCGTCCTGCAGCGGCCACCCCATCTGGATTGCGTTGTCAAACCAGCGCAGCGCCGAAAACACAGCACCGGGCACAGAATGTCCCCGCTCCTTCTGCTCGTCCAAATACACCTTGACGTCGATTTCAGTCACAGTTGCAACCTGGCGGCCGCGCGATTCCAGCCACGTCATGAATCGATGGACATGCCGGGAGTGCTGTCTGACCGTGCTCGCCACTCGCGCTTTGCGCCCTAGCAGCTCGGCCAGTAGCCTGCGCTGGTCCCCAATCGGCAATCTGCAATCATCCATGCGGGCGCAGCGCTGGCTGTGTTGGCGCACTGAGTCAACGAGATGCAGGCATGCCTTCAACGCCGTCTCGTGCTCGCGCGCGTCCAGGCTCTCCTGGTCGCGCTGCTGCTCTGCGCGCGGGCGCGAGCTTTTGAAGGGTCGTTGTGCTCCCGTCGCGGGCAGCGTGCACAGGTTTTCAACCGTGCGCAGCGGTGCCGCCTCTTTGAGGTCGGCCGTGGCATGCTTCCTTCGGACTTTTGCCACGTGCTTGATGGCGAAGTACGCCTGTTCTGCCAAATCCAGGGCATGGTCGAAGAAGCCCGCCGGTGGTCGCAGTGGGTCTGTTTCGGGGTCTGGTTCCCCAAGCTCGTCTGCCAGGATTTCCAGCACCAGCAGTGAGGTTACATAATTCGCTTCCAGCCATTGTCGCACGGCGCCGGCGGAATCGCCCGATGCAGCGCAATATGTCTCCACTGCGTTTTCGAGGCGCGGCGTCAGAAGCGCCAGCGGGGCGCGCAGGCCCTCGTCCCCGCTCTGCTCCAAAACGGGGTGGGGATTCTCCATCGAAGCTGCCTTTGTGTTCCTACTACCTCCCGCCGTGGCCGCAAGGCACGGGGCGGAGGCGCGGGTTTAGCAGCAGCTGCGCCGAACCGCGTCCCCCACGCCCGCTTGGCGGTGCGCGGTGGTGCGGGTTTTTGCTTGCTCCCCCCTCGTTCCCCGTCGCGGCTGCTGTTCGCTGGCCGTCAGACGAAGGTGGAGGGGCAGATGATTATTTTTCCCGTTCCCGTCCCTCGGGCCCGCTTAGCGGTGCCCGGTGGTGGGTCTGTTGGGGGTGGGGGTGGGTTTCTTTGTGCCTCTGCTGCTGGGCTCGCTTGAGCCGGAGGCTACGGTTGCCTGGCCCTCTCTCTGTCGCGTCGCAAGCTTCCTGCCTCCCCTCTCGCGTCTGCTACTACGGCCAAGTAGGGGGGGGGTCATCCCGCTTGCACGTCAAATGCGCTGAACGGTCAGGCGCCCCAGGAAACTCTCGAGAGGCGCGGCTGCAATGACAGGTCCCACCATCCCCATGAGACTTAATCTCTCCTAGGCCGTGTCCCCCCAAACCTGGTAGGAAGACGTATAAGTCTCCTCTGCGGCGGTGGTGATCCAAACCTTGAAGGTGTGGGCACGTCGTGCCCCCAATTGGGAAATCAGTTTCGAGTTTCGGTTTCTGCATTCCCCACCCCACTCTCCTTATCAGCTGTTCATTGTATTGCGCCCAAGATTGATGAGGATAGGTGGGTGATGATTCTTCCGTTGGCTTCAGCAGGTCCTCTCCCAAGCGGGGGAAGGAAGGCAGGCCTCCCCCCGAGCCCAAAGTCATACCTACTTTCGGGGAGGCCGGCCTCCAGGGAGAACGCCCAATGGAATACCACCCACTTCCTGGGAGGCCAATGCGAGATCCTGGATACTCGGAGTGTGGAGCCACTAGGTGGTCCCCCAGAGTGTGGCCTCATTTGCGGCCTTCCCGAAGCCACTTAGTGGTCTTCGTTTGGCTTGCTGTCGCTGCGAAACTCGCTTGAGCCGCAATGGTTTCTTTGTGCCTCTGCTGCTGGGCTCGCTTGAGCCGGAGGCTACGGTTGCCTGGCCCTCTCTCTGTCGCGTCGCAAGCTTCCTGCCTCCCCTCTCGCGTCTGCTACTACGGCCAAGTAGGGGGGGGGTCATCCCGCTTGCACGTCAAATGCGCTGAACGGTCAGGCGCCCCAGGAAACTCTCGAGAGGCGCGGCTGCAATGACAGGTCCCACCATCCCCATGAGACTTAATCTCTCCTAGGCCGTGTCCCCCCAAACCTGGTAGGAAGACGTATAAGACTGTTCGCTCTTATCTGCTCGAATGTCCGTTAACAAGTATTTCCCAAACACTCGATACCCGCCATCTCTGTCTTCGATCGTACCCATTTTGTGGGGTACACCTTTCTTCCATGCAGGCCGGGCCCCCGGCAAGCGGCGGGGCGGCCGCGGACCGTCGGCCTGGCCAGCAGCAGCGCTAATCGGCGGTAACCCGACCCAAAGAGGGACGGACAGGGGACCGACCACGACGACGACAACGACGACGACGTCGAGTTCGACGACGGCGACGACGACGACGAGCGAAAGCGAGAGCGAGAGAGAAAACGACAGCAGGGCCACGAAGGGCACGAAAAAGGCCACGAGGGGCGACAGCGGAGACTTGAAGGGAATGCGCATGGGGCCACGAAGAGCGCGAACGAGCGGGGGCCACGACGGGCAAACGTATTTTGGGCCGCGGAAGGCAAGGACGGGGCCACTGAGGGCAGCAACGGGGCCAAAAAGGGCAGCGAGGGGACCACGCAGGGCGACAGCGAGGCCACTAAGGGAATGCACGTGGGGCCACGACGGGCGCGAACGAGCGGGGGCCACGAAGGGCATACATATATGGGGCCACGAAGGGCAGCGAAGGGGCCACGAAGGGCTGCAACGAGGTCACGAAGGGCAGCGAAGGGGGCCACGAATGGCTGCAACGGGGCCACGAAGGGCAGCGAGGGGGCCACGAAGGGCTGCAACGGGGCCACGAAGGGCAGCGATCGAAGGGCAGCGAGGGGGCCACGAAGGGCTGCGACGGGTCCACGACGGGCAGCGAGGCCACGAAGGGCTGCAACGGGGCCACGAAGGGCAGCGAGATCCCGATTCCTAAATAATCTGTGACTGAGTCCTAAGCGTGAGCGCGACTCCTGGGTGCCTGAGGGTCGGGAGCGGGGCGCTTGAGCAAATTGCTGGAAATTCCAACGCAAGGGCGCTATTCTTTAGTACATTGCCAGCAAGTCTCCAGCAGGAGCGCGACTTCAGAGCGCCGAGAAAACGATTCATGAAGAATTGTAAGGAAGTCCCAATCGAGATCGCGATTCCCAAAATAAAATACGAGGAAATCTCGGGCGGGAGCGGGGGTCCTGGCTAAATTGTAGGGAGATCTCAGGCGGGGGCCGTTGTTATTGTAACCCGGGAGCTAACACCGCAATTTGAGGAGGAAGACTTCCCTTGATAAAAACAAGGTGCGAACGCCGGGAGGGGCACTTCAATTGAAAAATGCGATGAGCACCGAAAAGGGGGACCAACCATGATTTTTCTTCAGTCGTGAGAGTCCAACGACAGCAGCAGCAACAGCAACAACGGCAACAATCACAACAACAAACCCATCAACAACAGCAAAAACAACAGCAACAGCAACAACAACACCAACAGTAACAGCAACAGCAACAACAACAACAATCATTGCAACACTGTTCGCTGATCTGCCAGCGTGCCGTTCGACGCAGAAATCAAAAACCCTCGATACCCACCCTCTTCGTCTTCAATCATACCGCACTTGGGGTGATACCTTTCTTACCTGTACCGTGATTTTCGCGGCAGAACCAGACGGGCAGATCGGGTGGGTAGACCGTAGCGGGCGGGTCGGGAAGGCGGACCCAAGCGGCCAGGTCGAGCACGCGGGTTGCTGAAACGTGCGTCCTGCATGAATCGCGAAGACCTTTCGAGCGACAGCGCGGTTCCCAAATACATCAGGAGGAAATCCATAGCGAGACCGTGATTCCCGAATGTCGACGGCGCGGCGTTTGAATACATTGCGAGGACCTCCCACGGGAGAGCGCGATATCTGCATAATGTGTGAGGGCGTCCCGCGCGACAGCGCGATTTGCGAATACATTGTGAGGAAGTATCGGGCGGGAGCCACTGCTGTTGTAAACCAACTGTCAAAAACATCAGAAACCCAAGAAAATCCGCATACAAAAACCGGGTGTGAACCCTGGCAAGCGCATTTTAATTGAAAATGCACAACGTGCCCTGGACGTGGGGATCAACAATTTTTCCAATGGTGATAATGCAACAACAACAACAACAACAACAACAACAACAACAACAACAACAACAACAACAATAGCAGCAACAATAGCGACAACAATCAGATTAACTGGATGCAGTATGATTCGATGAGCAGCATGCATCCATCATGACCCCCCCCCATGGGGGATCATTGCTTGCACTGGGGGCCCGATATTCCTTTGCCCAGATCTCCAGCCCGAGAAGGTCTTGACAACACCTCTCCCGAAGCATTTCAGCATCTCCAGCCCGGATGGCACATCGCTCTCGCAATCGCCATGCCCATGTTTTGCCTGTGGGAGAAGCCTAAAAATCTCTGGGAGAAGCCCCGCAACGTCTCCTTGTGGGAGAAAATGGAGGCCCGAGGGAAACGTGTTAAACTGACCTGGAATATTTCGGGGCATCTTGAAGGAGGCATCAGGGCATTTTTGGAGAAGGCATGGATCGGGGGAGCCAGTGGGCCTCGGGAAAAAGAAAAGAAGGGAAGGGGAGGAGGAGGAAGAGGAGGAGGAGGAGGAGGAGGAAGAAAACGACGACGACGACGAAGACTAAAACGACAGGGTCGCCGCCGCGGGTTCTCGGGCCGCCCCTGGCACTCGAAGCGAGCGCGACAAGGAGGCGCCGGCGCAAACCTCCGACAGTGCTCGCTGCATTCATGAGGATCGGCACTCGGGATTTGGGAAGCCCCAGGGCCTCTGGGAGTCTCGTCGACCAAAAACGAGTCGGCACTACCCCGCCCGCGGTCCCGCGGTGGAATTTCAGGCAGTTGCCGAGTACTCTCGGCTTGTTGCCACGAAGACCCCACGGTCGACTCGGGGAGCCACCGCGCCACGCAGACGCCGAACGCCGCCCAAGGACCATTCGCAGTAACTGCGACGCGGGTTCCGCGCACTGGCCACCCGATATTCCCAATCAGCGAATCACTATTATCTTACAGCAGGGTGTCTAAAACTCCGACCACTTTATTCCGCGTCGCCCACCCACCCCCGCGTCCCCAGCGCCAGAGTGGGACCCCCGCGCCGTGGCTCTCTGCCCCGAGCCCCCCCGCGTCCCCAGCGCCCCAGCAGGAACCTCGCCCACTGCCCCCTCCGCCACGAACGCTTTATTCCGCGTCGCACACACACACGCACACACACGCACACACACATACACACACACACACACACACACACACACACACACACGCGCACGCACGCGCACGCACGCACGCACGCACGCACGCACGCACGCACGCACGCACGCACGCACGCACGCACGCACGCACGCACGCACGCACACACAAACACATACACACACACACACACATTCACGCACACACACATTCACGCACACACACACATACACACACACACACACGCACGCACGCACGCACGCACGCACGCACGCACGCACGCACGCACACACGCACACACACACACGCACACACACACACGTCCCCAGCGCCAGAGTGGAACCCCCGCGCCGTGAGCGTCCCCAGCGCCCCAGCGGGAACCCCGCCCACTGCCCCCTCCGCCACGAACGCACACCAGCTCCCCCCCCCCCCCCCTCCCTCCCCGCGTCCCCAACGCCCCACTGGGGGCTCCGCCCCGTGCCCCCTCCGCCCCGGCAATTTTATTCCGCGTCGCGACGCACCCCCCCTCCCCCCTCCGCCCCCCGTCCCCAGCGCCCTAGCTGGACCCCCGGCCCGTGGCCCT